ATTTAACAGGACATGTATCATTCTTTCCAATGTTGACGTGACACTCAACTGGAGAGAATTGACCATCTTTTATATCTAAACATTTATTTGTGAAATTTTTTTGAGGAATAAAGCTCTCTCATTCAATCTCACTAAACATTACCTAAGTACCTAGGCATGTCAAACGGGCTGGCCCGGCCCGAAACCCATAAAGCCTGCATATATTTAAGCACGGCCCGGCCCTAACAGGGTTATCGAGCTTTTTCGGGCCTTTTCGGGCTTTTTAGAAAAATAAAATAAATTTTAAAAATAATCATAAATATAGTTTTATCAAATCTGAAAGCAAAACTTTAACTTATAAATTTATATAAATTCTAATATTAAATAAAATTAAATAAATAAGTAATGTAAATAGTAGAAACAGTAGAATCGAGATGAGAATCTTCAGAATGAAGGTAGGAGTGATTCTTGAAACTAGTTTAGTTTGAGCATTGATGTTATACGAAGGTACACAACTAAAAATTAAGGTTTTATATTAATAAAGAGTATTATAAAAAAAATTAATAACTCTAATTTTTTAAAATTGTAAAAATAATTTATGAATAAAAATTTCTAAATAAAATTATAATATAAAGTACAGGGCTTTTCGGATAAGTCCGAGACCGATCGGGCTTAAGCCCAAATGGGTTTAACCCAAAAAGCCTTTTTGGGCTTTTATACCAAAGCTCAAACCCGGTATTTTTCAGGGCCGGGCCAGGCTTTGGGCTTTGGCCCAAATTGACATCCATATAAGTAACTTTAATGAAGAAATCGCTAATCCATTCTAATATTTTCTGAGATTTTTAAATATTTATTTTTTATATTTTGATATATATACGATAAATATGCGTATATCCTATATTTAATTATCCTGATTTAAATTTAATTGAAAAAGAAGATTTCTATACTTTAGAAATTCGTATCTATAAAAAAAAAGAATTTCAAATCAGTTTAGAAAAGATAATTACTGTTTATTATATTTTTTGAATGAATTGTTATGTAATTATCGGACTATATATAATATTAAATTTTAAAGAGAAAGAGGCTACCTTAAATTTTGTTTGGTATAAATACTTGGCATACCCTCTCATATTTTTGGCATTGAATTTTTAATAAAAAGTAGGTATTTACCCGCGCTACGCTGCGGATATTTTTCTAAATTTTGTATATATTTTTAATATAATAAAATTATTTTTATAATATATATGAGTATTGTATTTATTTTTTTATTAGCTTAAGTTATGTATTTATATATTATAAATCTGAATAAACATTGTAAATCCTTAATTTTTTTTTTTTTTCAAAATTATAATTTAATATCAAATTTGTTACGTTAACTAACTATAAATATATATGTAAAAATAAAACAATACATTTTTAAGTACCTTCATGCTAATGGCAAATATAATTTATTTTCTCCAATAAATTATCATTTGATCCTCCTTTATAATTATATAAAACAAAATACCATTTAGAAAGATTAATTAATATGATTATTTTGAATTATAAAATTTATATATTTATCAAATATTTATTATAAACATATGTTTCCAAAACTACCTAACTATAATCAATAACATTCATATCAAAATCATTGCTATTGCTTTAGAACTAAATAAAAAAAAAATTCTGTTTGAACTGTTAACATATTAATTTAGTTGAAGTTAAATAATTAAATTTTGGTTACTGAAAACATATTGTAACTTGAAATTTTAGTATAGAAAAATTTTATCTTCTTAGAAAAATCAGAAAATCGTATTTTCCATCAAAATAAAAAAAAAAAAATCATCTTCCCACGCAACTGAAAAATCGCCTATTGCCGCCAAAACAAAAAAAAAATTCATTTTCTCGTTAAACTTCAAATTTCATTTTCCCACCAAAACAGAGAAATTGCATTTCTTCTCAAAATCCAAAAAATCATATTTTCATGCGAGAACGTGTGTTTTCCCACAAAAACCGAAAAATCATGTTTGTTCACCAAAACCAAAAAATTTCATCTTCCTGCAAAAACAAAAAAATCTTATCTTTTCGTCAAAACCGAAAATTTCAACCGAGAAATCGTCTATTCTCGCCAAAAAAAAAAAAATCATTTTTCTCGTCAAAGCAAGAATCACGCTTTGCTACTAAAAACGATAAACTACAATTTCCCGCAAAAACCAAAAATTGCAGTATCTCCTGAGAAATTGTGTTTCCCACGAAAACTATGAAATCGTATTTTTCCGCAAAAACAAAAAAAAAATCACATTATATGTCAAAAACTGAAAATTTGCATTTTCCATCAAAACCTAAAAATTGTTTGTTCCACCGAAAACCGAAAAATTTTGTTTTCCCATCAAAGCGATAAATTGTACTTTCTGCTAAAATTGTCAAATTATAATTTCCCACGAAAACTAAGAAATCACATTTTCCTGCAAAAATCAAGAAATCGCATTATCCGTCAAAAGCCAAAAATTTGCATTTCCTATCAAAACCGAGAAATCGTATTTTTTGTCAAAATTTAAAAGTTTCATTTCCCATCAAAACCGAAAAAACGCATTTTCTCGTCAAAACAAAGATATCTTGTTTTTGCATCAATTTTTTCTTTCTTACCAAAACAAAAAAATTTACATTTTTCCGCCAAATCTGAAAATTCGATTTTTTCCGCCATAACTGAGAAATTATGTTTTCCTACCTAACCTGAAAATCATAATTTCCTACCGAAACCAAGAAATATCTTATTCCCGCTAAAGCCAAGAAAATTTGTTCTTGGTAACCACCGGAAATGCGAATATCCAAGCTATGGTGGTATGAGCTTCTCCTCATTTGCTTTTAACTTCCATTTTTTTTGTAAACTTTGGGCTTTTTAATAGGTCAGCAAAATAGTAAAGTGATTTTATTATTGTGTTGATGATATGCATTATTGTTATGTTTTTACTGGTTCAAATTTTTGCTGATGTGTGAGCTTCTTATAATATAAGATTTTTTACAATGATAATCATCAAGTTTGAGCTATGCTGCGGGATATTTTTCTAAATTTTGTATCTATTTTTAATATAATAAAATTATTTTTATAATATAAATAAGTATTATATTTATTTTCTTATTAGCTTAAGTTATGTATTTATAAGTTTTAAATATGAATAAACATTATATATTTTATATTTGTTTTTCTTTTCAAAATTATAATTTGCTATTAAATTTAGTTAGCTAACTAATTATAAATGTATATATAGGAATAAAATATATAAGAATAAAGCACTACATTTTTATATCTTCATGTTAATGGTAAATGTAATATATTTTTCCTAATAAATTGCCACTTGATCGCCTTTTGTAATTAAATAAAACAAAATGTCATATAAAAAAGATTTATTAATTAATATGATCATTTTAAATTATAAGATTTATTTATTTATCAAATATTTTATTATAAACATATTTTTCTAAAACTATCAAATTATAATCAATAACATTCATATCAAAACCATTGCTATTGCTTTAGAACTAAATAGAAAATTATGTTTGAACTCTTAAAATATCATTTTAGTTAAAGTTAAAAAATTAAATTTTAGTTACTGTAAACATACTTTAACTTGGAAATTTAGCACAGAGAAATTTATCTTCTTACAAAAATCGAGAAATCGCATTTCCCTTTTAAACAAAAAAACTTCATTTTTCTATTAAACTGAGAAATCGCATATTCTAGCAAAAATCAAAAAATTCATTTTCTCGTCAAGCCTAAAACCTAAAATTTCGATTTCCCGCGAGAACCTGTGTTTTTTCACCAAAGCCGAGAAATTACGTATTTTTCACAAAAACAAGAAAAGTTCATCTTCCTGCAAAAACAAAAAAAAAAATTGTATTTTCCTGCCAAAATCGAAAAATTTATTTTTCCTGCAAAAACTGAGAAATTGTCTATTCCTACCAAAACAAAAAAAAATCATTTTCTTGTTATGCCCAGAATCACGCTTTCCTACAAAAACAAATAAACTACAATTTTCTGCAAAACTAAAAACTGCATTATCTCCCGTATAATTGTGTTTTCCTGTGAAAACGAAGAAGTTGTTATGTTTTTATTGATTCAAATTTTTGCTGAAGTGTGAGCTTTTTATAACATAAAGCTTTTTGCGTTGTTGTCATGTAAGCATATATTGATGTTGAGCCTACACTTTTTTAATCATATACGTCTATGTCAAACAAACAGATAGCTAGAATTTTTTTGTTATTTATTTGTTGTTATTTATTATTTGGATTTGGTTTTGGTAAAAAAAAACAATGATTTAATTTTTATTTGTTTTTATTTATTATTTGGGTTTGTATTTGGCAATAAATAAAATAATGATTTTTTATTTGCTGTTATTAATTATTTGGGCTTGGGTTTGGTAAAAAATAAAATAAAAATTAATAAAAAAATATTTGGATTTTTATTGGGTTTAAGTTTAAAAATTAAAATAAGTAAATGAGGTATATTAATAAAATATTTTGATTGTGATTATTTTTGGTGAGGTGTCATGTTTATAAAGCTTAAAAAACTGAAGTGTCAAGCCATGGAGAAACTTTAGTGTTATTGTTGTGTTGATTTAGGTTTAGAGTTTTTTCGGTATAGTTTTGCATGTCGCTGTTTCTTTTGGTTGTAGTTCGAAACTTTGATATGATTATTGTTTTTGAAATTGATGTGAGGTGTTCTTCATATTATCGTACATCTTTTTGATTGTTTGTTTATTTTCTTTTTACGTAGATGAAGCTGAAGTTTGGGATTGGAAGGTGAAGCTGAAGTTTGGGATTGGAAGGTGAAGCTGAAGGTCTTATGATCTCTATTTTCTTATTGTCAGATAAAAAAAAATTACATAAGAGGGTTATCTCCACGGACCTGCGTAAGAAACTGAAATACGTTTCTCGACTGTGTTTTAAGCTCCACGTGCGCATCTCCCTCCACCCTTTTCGAATCTCTCATCGAGGAGCTTCCTTTTCGTTTAGAGGTATTGAATTGATTTATTATTTTTTCACACTTTCGGCATTTTGGCTTCGGGGTTAAGATTTGAAATGGCTTCTTCTTCTTCCATTATTCTGAAAATTAGGATACGATAAGAGGGGACAAGAGATTTGATTCCGATGATTGCAGCCACATTGTTTCGTTGGTGTCTGGGCTTTGTCATCTACTGAAGAATTTCGGTGAGTTCGAAATTTGAATCTTGCGGATATGTAATGTATGGTGTGTTTGAGAGTTCGAAGATTTTAATTAAATTGAGGTGTTTTGAGGTTGAATCAGGCTTTGGTAATCCGGATAATCATAATGCGTTGCAGTTATTTGTGTGGAGAGTGTTTATTCCACTCATGAAGATGGTTCGTGCGTATGACTTGGATATGCTTAATAAGTTATGATTACTAAAAGCTTTAATTTCATAATGTTTTTTTTCTTTGGTCACATGACTCACATCTGAGTCAAAAACGACAAGTTTACTTTTACTCTAATCATTATGGTTTGCTTATGATAAAAGTAACAGCACCCATCTCATTAATGATCAAACCAATATAAACTGGGTTTTTGCTTGCTCTGCTCTGGAACCGTGTTGTGTATGAACCTAAACTTTCTCTTGCTCTGTTCTTGACTATGGAGCACATATATGAATGTACCTAACACTCTACTCTTAGCTATCTTCTTACCTTCCGCTTCACTCAGATATCGAACTCCATTCTCACGTAACCACTTCTCGACTCTGCTTACACCATCCTTCACTTGCTTCTCTTTCATCCTCAGAGTCTAGAGATGATACATACTTGCAAATTACACGTCTGCTTTCTTGGGAACGTCCGATCATGTGTTGACACTCTCCACATTGATACCACACTTTTTTATTTGCTATAGCTTTTAGTTTTTCGTCGTTCTTTTTGTAGGATTTGGCTGCAACAACTTGTAAGAGCTGCACAAAAAGTTACTATGCCACGAAACTTTGCAATCGATGCAGAAAGGTTCACCGCATCTAAAGCAACATCTCCTAACTACTCCAGCTTTCTAATTCATTTGATCCAGAGAGCTCGGTTCTCGACATTAGAGCAGAGCACAGTGGATTCGGACAGTAGACCCTGTCCGCAACAGGAATTGAGCCCTCTTCGATCCTTCGTTCCCACATGGTATTAGAGATACTTGAGAATATATGATTGCCGTGATTCAAGCAATCATCATATAACTCTAAATGCATATATCGTTCTTTCCATTTATCATTCATCCAATTGTTGTATAAATGTATCCGTACAGAGGCAATACAAATTATCTCTTTCATTGGATCCAATACATCTCTATAATATTATTTGAGAAGTACATTTTTGAAACAATCGAAAAAATAAATGTTATTACGAAAATTGCCACTACAATTACAGGTAGATAATGTTTGGCAACAGATATATTTAGGGACAAAAATGGCGAGTTCACTGAGTTAACTCGCCTTCCATGACTCGGACTATGTCCATACAGAAAAATCCGACCCAGAAACCCATTTAAAAGAACGCGGATCCCCACAAACTTAAATCAAACCGGATTCATCAAAACACCGGGATTCACCTGTTTGAGAAAATTTCATCAAACTCATATATCATAATGTATCAGAATATCCTCGCTCAAAATATGGCAACTGACATGCGTTTAGGTTCTTCGTGAGTTAAACTAAATCCTAAAATTCTCAAAATATGGCAACGGATATGGCGGAGAATATCTAAGTAAGCGAATATGGGAATATATTATTCACTGTCGAAAATCGGAAATCTCGGACTAATTGCATATGCATAACAAACATATAATCAAGAATCTTGCCTAATAAGATTATGAATATGACTAAAATTCTTAAGCAGTTACCAAATAATTCAAAATCTTTAAATAAAATCATTGACTATCAATCTTTTCAAACCTACCGTAGTCTTTTGAAACACTATAAAAGCATCCTAGAGCTTTGGCATAATAGAAAACATACCTCACATTAATTTATCTTAAAGCATCCTAGAGCTTTGTCAAATAAAAAGAAATTGATGCACTTCTTCTCATTCTCTATCTAAGAGACTTGAAGCTCCTATCTCATGTCCTGCAAACATAGAAGAGGAAAGGTAAGAGTCTATTCTAATTAAACGCCATCACTACTTATATAGTATTTTCTATTATCTACCGATCTACAATATTAAATCATTGTGACAATGTTAAGATATGATCAGTTTACATTTTCATTATACTTACTGACTAACTAAACTGTTTTAAAATTGCAGGGTCTCATGATACATGCTCATGTAAAAAGGACAAGGAAAGATATGGCAAAAACAGCTACTTATCTTTTTCATAAGCAATTGCAGTTGGTGGGGGAGCATGAAGAATTAAAGAGAAGAAAGCTTTGTTATATTTTAAATATGTTGTCTTGCAATTCTAACTTTAATTTTATTCAACAGGGTAAATAATTTTTGATTACTATGTCCTTAATCTTTGATTTCACTAAACTTAATAACCACTATTGTACCTTTGGCAGCTTCGAATCAAAACTGCGCCACAGGGCCGCTTCAAGAGAGGTGATGTTGTTTTGACACAATATCCTTATGTTCAGGCCAGAAACTCCTTGCAGGTCTTGAGCATGTGACTGCGAAAACAACAAAGAGCTACATCAAATGAGCAAAACGAAAAGAGGTAATTAAAACTTTTTCTATCTTCTAAACTGAAAAGACAATACCAATATTTTCTTGCATTGCTGTTTCTAAAATTTTAACCATGGAAAGGCAATGCTCCTTTGCTAAAAAAAAGTAAATTCTCTAAGTCCTTTAAAACCAGCTAATTTCTTAAATCTTTTTTTTCCTACAGATGATACTTGAATGTTTCTAACAAACGAAAAGTTGAGAACTTTCTGCAACAAAAATCTCCAAGCTTTCGCATTAAAACTAAATTCATTCACTGCCATAAACGCAGTGGAAAAGAGATAGTTTGATACTGAAACTTTCAATTTCAAGTCCTGGAAAGATCCATACGCATCACTGAAAGGATTACCTGAAAATCCTTCTGATATCCTTCTTTATTGTAGATATCGAGCTACTTTGATACCCTGCCGCTACAACTGTCAACGGCGTGCGTGTTCATGCAACTGGCGGGACAGTCACAGATCGATGCGAAGAACTTCTGACCGGAGATTCTGATAGAAGGGTTGATCTGTGGGGTTGAGTCTACAATAACGACGGAGAGTTTCTTAATTAGGTATTTGGTTATGATTGTGGCTAGAATCGTAAGTGTTGTGATTGATTTAGTCGAGTCAGAAGAGGGGGTTTATTCAAGGGTGTTGGACATGCGGAGGTCACGGCCGAGAGGGTGGTTCTAGGGTTTTTGCGCGAGAGGTTGAAGGTGGGTTTGGAGAAGAGAGAGACGGTTAATTGGATCTACGTTTTTACCAAGAGAGACGGAGAGAGATTAGTGAAATCACAAGACAAAAACAAAATTGGGTGTCTCGACCAGATCTCGATTAAAACAAAGGAGAAGGAATCATACCACCGTAGATGAAATCGGAGGATCGGCGGAACACGGCGGCAGGCGTGCGGAGTAGAGCCAGCGGCGAAAGCTGTGTCGATAGGGTGAAAAATTCTGAGAAGAGCGGAAATAATGATTGAAGAGGACTTTTGAGGGTTTAATTTGACTATTTGCTTTTACATTTTCTTAAATTCTTTAATTTTCTATAATTATATTTCAAAGAAATCATAAATTTTTTAGTAAAAGTGATCGATCCAAACCGACCAAAGTTACTATGATCTACAAATAATTCTGATTTTATTTAGTGCCATATATTACTATGATCTACAAATAATATAACACTTCTAATTCTGACAAAAATCAAGCAACAAAACTACAATATTATTTAAATCAACATATAATATACTCTCATGCAAAACAAACTCAAACAATATATTAATATATGGCACTAAATAAATTCAAACATCATACATATTTGTTTCTTCTCATTTTTCATCCCATTAAAAAAAAAGATAAATTATAAAAAATTTCAGCGCGTATACAAATTATATAATATCATCATCAACACCAAAATAAAACTATCAATACAACAAAATATTTTAATACACTACATTACGAGTTGCATAGACTTAAAAAAAAAAACTTTAGAAATAAAAGTAGAACGATCAACAACAAAATAAAACTATCAGTATATCTTCACAATTTTATGATCAAAAATTAAAATATTTTAATACCGTACATGACGGGTTGTATAAGATTTAAAAAAAAAGAAATTTTAGAATTTTTATTTAGATCCAACAAAGATCCTCAACCAATATAGTAATATATATAAGAACATTTAGTTTTTTAAAAAATTAAAATATATAACAAACTACTAATACCAACATAATCATAAACCGTACATAAATAATAAATCAATCATATAAAAAATATAAACGATATACAAATAAATAATAAATTTATATATGGTATATATTTTAAATATTGTGAAAGTCTTAAAAATATTTTATTTCTCATTTTTCATAAATGGTGGATTGATAATATGATAATATATTTTTTCTTCATTTTCCATCCCGTTAAACAAAACAAAAAAGACAAATTGTCAAAACATTTCATCGATAATACTATCATCAACATCAAAATTAAACTATCAATACAACAAAATATTTCAATATATTGCATTACGAGTTGTATAGACTTTCAAAAAAAGAATTTTAGAAATAAAAATAGAACTATCAGCAATAGAATAAATTATCAGTAAATCTCCCCAATTTTACGAATTGAACATAAAAATAATTTAATATTGTGCATGACAGATTTTATAGGCTTTTAAAAAAGAAATTTTAGAATTTTCATTTCGATCCAACAAACATACTCTACCAATATAGTAATATATATAAAAAAAATTAAACCTTCAACTAAACTTAAATTTTAAAAAATTAAAAATATATAAATTTGCATATATATTAATAATGTAACCCCAATAAATATTTAAAATACATAATTGCGCGCGTAGAGCGGATTAAATCCTAGTGATTATATAAAAAAAGAAGCAATTAACTAAACGGAGAGAATACAACCTGAAGATGGAATACGAAAATGATTTGTGTTGATTGTTTATTGATCTTCAAAAGACTACTCGAAACTGAGGAGCGTCTTTTCCGCCAGCGGGGAGAATCTCTTTACGTTTAACCCACGAGCATGAAGCGGCGCGGCAAACCTGATCTTTTTTATTTTTAACCTAAATGTGTCCATACACGTAAATGCTATTGGGTTAATTGGGTTAATGTTGTAATGGACCTGTTAAATATGTTGTATCTTTTCAGTGCTATACTTTTTATGATATATAATGATAACGAGACGACAAAAAAAAATGTTATAGATCTTTCTGCAAGTTTCTTAAAAGTTCACATCATAACAGATTCTCTCATTGTATGGCTAAAGAAAAATAATAAGAAGGAACTCAAGGAATCTAAAACTCTCATATAGTTTCTGATTATTTCTAGAAATGTTATTTTGTCCCTTTTCGTTTATATGAAGCACAGTTAAAAATACGTTTAATATTCAGTTGATTCTGGTAATATTTATTGAATAAAAAATTTGTTATTATATTATTCCATTTTTTCTAATATGATTTTTTATGGTTTGTGATAATCTCTATTGTTAGGTTTTTAATCCAAAATTTCATACGTTGATGTCTATTGTGTCCTTTAATATTTTTTAATGCCTGAAAATTTTATATTTAATTAGCTATATTTTTAACGAAAATCCTCTTAATTTTTCTGTCATAAGAATTTCTTTTTAAATATTCTTCTTAATGTGTTTTAAAAACTATCTATGTTTCGTCAAACAATTTGTAAATACTTAGTACTATGGTTTCTACGTTTACATATATATCTGCATCTACTAAATCCTAAATTTATTTTGATAGAGACAATTTCGGTCTGAAATGTTTCCTCAGGTTTTTCTATTCTATAACACCAAATTTACTAATTTTTTTTGAAGAACAAAGCTCTCTCATTTAATCTTACTAAACATTAGCTAAGTACTCTTAATGAAAAAAATTTCTAATCTATTATAATATCGTCTGTAACACCAAATTTGCAAAGTGATTTTAAAAAATAAAGCTCTCTCATTCAATTTCACTAAACATTACCTAAGTACTCTTAATGAAAAATTATAATCTATTATAATATCTTCTGAAATTTTTTATATAATATTTTTTGGTATTCCAGATTTAAATCTTATATCGATCTATATATTTCCGAAATCCGAACAGGAATATATTTATACTATATATTTCAAAATTAATTTTAAATTTATTCAATTCTTATGTATATCTCTACTATTTCTTTTGGTATAACATAAACTTTGGTTCTATTTTTCAGGAGAAGGTCTTCAAAGGGAGAAGTAAGATCGAAATCAAAATTGATAAAAAGGTGTTCAGTTTTTCAAACATAGCTTTTTGATCGAAAACAAAAGCAGAAACTTTCAAAGGCTGATTTGAATTTGTTTTAGTGACTGTACTTTTGTTTAGTTTGATTTAATTTGTGTTTATTTTTACAAACATTTTTTATAGTTTTGTTTTAGTGACTGTACTTTTGTTTTGTTTATTATGCGTTTTTAATCGAGACAGATAGAATCACCCATCCAATCTTCCATTTTATTGACCTTTTATGTTCATCGTAAGGAGCCGTGAAGGTTGCTTTTTATTCGGATTTTTGATTCTGTTTGATCTTAAGAGAGGAAGTTGTTTAATGTGTTTTCGGAACTTTGATTGTAATATGCTTTCCACCGATGAATGAAGATGTTTACGCTGAATCTCATGTACATGAATCTGTGAATGATCAAGTCTGATTCCATTTGCATGCAAGTTTTGAAATATTTTTTGTGTGTTTCAATTGTAGAGTAACAAAACATGATTTTTGATTCATTTCGACTGCCAGTTTTGAACATTTATTTCTGTTTTCTGTATGTAGTTATAAAACCAACTGATTTCTTCGATTAAGAGCATTGAGATGTTAACAAGAAGAGATTTCAAAGCACTCTTTATTGAATATGTTGTCTGTGTTTTCTTATGTTTTTTAATGTTACTAGCTAACTGAATCGTCTCGGTCAGGTATATATGTGATTACTGCAGATTTGTGCAACACTGCATTCCGTTGGTATGCCTTATTGAAAACCAGTGGTATGCCTTACTGAAAACCAGTGGACTCAAATAATTGGGGCTGAGCTTAGTGATGGCCTTAAGAAACCAAAATGAGTTAGAATGTTTTCATAAGAATTTGTAGCAATTACTTTTTTCAGTTTCCGGTTTTAATTAATGTTTTTTGGTGTATATATTTTACTTGAGGAGATGACATTTCAAGGGAATGTACAAATCATATATACATTATATGTGTCGTCGTCTTTGTGATTAAACGAGAAATCTATTTTACTATCTATGCGCCGCTTATTATGGTATCAAAGCATGATCTCTGAAAACTCTTTCAATTTCTCATTTTTGATACCATTCTCTTTTCTTCTTTGTTTTCTTTACTCCGACCTTTATTCTTACTTGAATCGATACCATGACTCAGTCCATAATTGATGCCAAAACCATTGCTCTCCAAACTGAACGCTCGACATTGACCCCGATCCCCAACACCATCGATGGAGATTTACAGACGTACAATCTCTCCATACGATCTCACCGCCAGCGACAACCCACGAAGTTTATCTCGCATCCTCTGTTATTTGGAGATAACTATGAAGAATGGGTGATTAACATTGAGACCGCCTTGAGTTCACAGAAGAAGTTTGGCTTCGTGGATGGTAGTATTGTGCGGCCAGCAGAAGACTCACCCGACTATGACGATTGGAAGACCATCAATGCCATTTGTAATTTCCATTCGACTAATTAATTTACATTTGAACCATCTTTTGTGTTCGAGTCGTAAAATGAGTCTTCAAAGATACTTCAGACTTAGAATTAGTTGATTGCATTTCATTATGGAAAATAAAAATATTAAAAGAGGAAATTCGTTGGGTTGAAATCAGTTCTTGCTCTATTCTTGATCTGTATCATTTAACCGAGAGGGCCGCTCTTATAAATACAGATACTCACATTCAGTCAAAGTCTCCTAACCTAACTTCTTATAGACGTCATCACCAACGGAAAAGGCAACATCGTCGACTGCATTCGAAGATCAAGAACCTGAGATTTCTCCGAGTCAGTCAAATCTCCGAGTCAAAATTTGAAGAATGTCGACTGAAGATCTCAGAAAGCTGCAAAGATTCGGTCGTCACATCGAGAAGCACTTCTTCGCCACTGATTGCACCGCATGGAACGAGAAAAGGGTAAACGCGAAATTGTTTGGTTGTTTCTACTATCTTCTGATTTAGTTATTGTTTACGCTTTATCGTTCTAGGGTTCAACGATAACAAAGATTCTTGATTTCTTTGTTCTCCTACATTTGCGAATATTTGAATCATAATTTCTATTCTTCTTTCGTTTTTGTTTAATTTACCATAAATCCGCTGTATCGTGTGTTACACGGGTTGTTCGTCGCAGTTTCGCTCGGATTTCTCCCATTGCTTTATCATCTCTTTTTGTTGTTGTGTAGTTTAACGATTAGTCATGATGCCTTTATGTGTAAGCGACTCTTATTTTTCTCTAACAACTAGTTTTGCATATCAAGAATCACATTTTGTTTCTTCTTATTCTTCGTTTTCTGACTTTTATGGACTTTGTGTTGTGAATGAAAGGTTGCTCATAGTTTTGT